TATCCTCTGATCTCAAACCTCTGCTCTTTTCTAAACACATAGCCAGCCAGCACCAGTGGTCTCTTGTCAGAGGACCCATGGTCTTGTAGGAAGAAAGGATTCTTCCTCTGAACAAGAGACAGGAAATGTGAAATGAATGCCCTGGCTGAGTGAAGCCTTGGAGGCTAGATTTTCAGCACACACTGAGTTGTTGGAAGTGGGTGTGAAAGGATTATTCCAAAACTGATTTTAGGAAGAGAAGAAACAGAATGATACTTATTCCTCTGATCCACAACTCTGACCATTTCCCAAATAGGAATCAAGATTTTCCCTTCCTCAGTGCCTGTAACTATAAACTTGGGCAAACTAAGAATAAACAGGAAAATGAAGGGAAGAAGAGGAGAGTGTCAGACATATAGATCCCCGTGGGAATGGTTTTCATTTGTGTGTGAGACTGTTTGTGTCATCAATTCAGGGTACATTTACAGCTGTATTTCCATTACTTTGCCAACAGCCCGTATGTGTTCTGTGGTTGTTTGTTACGCAGTGATAGTATGCTCACTGTTAACTGACCCGTGTGCCATCAGCTCTGTGTTGAGCTCCAGCTATCAACTTCAATCCTCCCCCCTTTCTCAGGATAATTTCATTTTCAGGGACTTCATCGATCTTCTACATCCTTGGTCTTGGTTAGGGTTAGCCTCATCCACCTCCAGTGCATCATCATAACTTTGATTCTTGGGACACAAGGTTGAGATCTCAGACCCTGTTTTCCCAGAAGACACTGGGGATCCTTTTGCAAATAATTCTTAACTTCTTGCAAGACTTCCCCTTCTCAAGAGGTAGTCAGTTTTAAGAAGGCTCAAAACCTAGAAGGTCCAATTATATTCTTCTCTGGAAAATTACAACTTGATCAGCAAACTCTTATGTAAATAACAGAGACTCCTCGGACTCTGTCTTTACAAAGCCCTGAAACCTTCTCTGGCTGGGAAAAGGTCTGTAACAGTACACATTATTATATAAACATAAGTCTTGGGGTGACATTCTACTACACGTATAATTATAAGGTAATGATCTTAGGAGCTACTTTTACATTCAAGAAAACTGAAATATTGAGACATTGTATGCGTGTTTCGTCACTCAGTCATGTCTGACTCTTGCGACCCCATAGACTGTAGCCCACCAGGTTCCTCTGTCCATGGGATTCTCCAGGCAAGAATACTGGAGTGGGTTGCCATTTCCTTCTCCAGAGGATCTTCCCAACCCAGAAATCAAAGTCAGGTCTCCTGCATTGCAGATAGACTCTTTACCAACTGAGCTATGAGGGAAATCCCTTGAGAAGTTGTTTCCCCCCTAATTTTAAACACCTAAAGTAAGACAGAGCCAGGATCAGAACTAACATTTTCAAGTTCTCTATTCAGATTTCTTTACATTTAAACCATGTTGGGGTGTCTGAAGGAGCCCAATATATAACACTCCTCTTTTGTGCCCATGTTCTATACAAACTGAGCATAAAACAAAAGCCTGGTCCAAAAAGCCAAGGCAAAAATCTCCCTCGTTTCTAACAGAGAGCAGGTTGGAGGATACGGTTGTCTGTTAGCCAAGTAGATCTGCCCACACTGGACCCCAGTGAGGAGAAAGATCCCTCCCCCAGAAGAGCAGGATAGAATCCTTCCTCTCTCTGAGCAGCTCACTCCCAAAAGGAAGGAAGGTGGAGCAGAGCTGAGCACACCCAGATGTTTCAGTCAGTTAAGATACTCCATCCTCCCCTAGGGAAATGAGAGTAATAGAGAGAATGGAGGCCAGGAGTTACACTACATGAGCTCCCTTTAACAAACAGAAACATCATAAGTCGGGTAAAAATGTTCCTACAATAAGCTAGATTTATTTAATATCATTTTAAGTTAGGCTTCATTAGAAAAGCCCATATCTCATTTAACCCACTTCCATAAAGCAAGATAGATATGTCTTCTGTCTCAATGTTAACAAAAACAGTAATTTTTCAAGCCTTAAGCAAACTCTCAGGTACTGTGGGGTGGAGTGAAACGGACTGTATACTGAAGCATCTTGAAATCACACCACCATATTCAGCCACCAGTTCTGCCTCTGTGTGAAGCCGACGTGGCTAATCCAGACACAGGGAAAACCCTCTGTGTGTCCTCAATTTATTAGCTAATAAGAGGCTATTTTAATTCTCATAAAATTGTCATTTCCCCTCCCACCCCATCCCCACCTTTAGATGTAGTAATGTTCTTTTAGGCCAAACTGATTCATCTTCTTCTAGAAAAAAAAATCATCTGTTAGAAGAATCTGAATCTTAAACAGGTTGCCATCTGAGCATATTCACAATCCATTACCTATTCCAACTGCTTGTTTGCTCCTTGCATCTAATGCACAACGCACAGTGAACATTTAAAGAATAGGAATTGATAGATGGATTCCCCAGACCATGGCAGCAAAGATTACCTACTGCCAAAGCCTTTTATAAAGTCAGTGGAGAGCAGGAATGGTTCTGATCATATCCTGTCTCCACCATCTTGATTCATCTACAGTGAAAAAGGAGGAGGGCATGGTGTGGAAATGTGTGTGTGTGCAGTGTGTGTGTGTGCGTGTGTGTATGTGTGTGTTTCAAATTGCATTTTTTGGCTACATCTCCAGTGAGATGATTAAAGAACTTTAGCTCTTTGCAACCAGCTCAGCCAAGAGTTAGACTATGCTTTGCTTTCCAAATATGGTTCTCATTTGTTTTCAGCCTCATTCATTTCTTATGATTTGTCTCTCAGAGAAAAAGGCAGCAAGAAAAATCAACCTTGGGCTTTCTTAATTAAGGCTTGCATTCTTGCTGGTATATTTTAGGAAGACAATCGATTCCTTTTGCCCTACTCTCTGGAGAACCTTACAATGTGGTTCTATTCATTCACTGGGCTCTGTGCGGGTTTGGGACCTGTCCTGGTTGGTCTTTAAATTCATTTTCATATAGAATAGTGGGGATCGTATCAGTTTATAAAACATTTCTCTCTGCAGAGCTCAAGCAAGCAGCCGCTAGGATAATCTCATAAATCCTCGTTGGGAAAACAGAAGCCAGGATTTTTATCTGACTTTGTGATTTTCATAATGAAAAAGAAAAACAAGGTAAACATTAGAGCTCTCACTCTACGTCTCCACCACCCCGTCCCCCCCAGATACCAAGCATTTCTGATTCTCCATTTACTTGGTATGTGAGGTCCTGACCCACTTAAACTCAGTCTCATTTTTCATGATAAACAAAAATAAAGGTGGGGAACTTCGGGGTTATTTTCCAGAATGTGGAACCTGAGAGAGTCAGGAAGAGAAGCCATATGTCTGCCTTCTCAAATCTCCTTTCACATGTATGCCTTCTTTAAAAAAAGAAATTATTTATTATTTTATTTTTGGCTGTGCTGGGTCTTTGTTGCTGTACAGGATTTTTTTTCTCTAGTTGCAGCAAGCAGGGGCTACTCTCTGGTTTTGGTGCACAGATTTCTCTTGTTATGGAGCACAGGCTCTAGAACGTGTGGACTCGGGGGTTGCTGCTCCCGGGCTCTAGAGCACAGCCTCAGTAGTTCTGGCACAAGAGCTTAGCTGCTCCGTGGCATGTGGGATCTTCCCAGACCAGAGATTGAACCCATGTCATCTGCACTGGCAGAAGGATTCTTTACCACCAAGCCACCATGCATGCCTTCTTGAAAGAAGACCAATGTGGTTTAGTCATTCCACCCAAACCTCTTTTTTTATGCACACCAAGATAAAACTTTCAGGCTGAACTCCCTAGGTAAGAATGGATCTTTGAAGAAAATTCTCCACCTATTTATTCAGCAGACACTGTTCTGCTCAAGGCAGTGTGTGAGAGTGTTATAGGGATTCAGAGATGAGCTCACAGTGCATATGTAAGGTGTCCATCCACAGGACAGAAAAGGACAGATTGTTGTTGTTCAGTCACTAAGTCATGTCCAACTCTTTGTGACCCCATGGACTTCAGCATGCAGGCTCCTCTGTCCTCCACTTGTTTGCTCAAACTCATGTCCATTGAGTCAGTGATGCAATCTGACCATCTCATCCTCTGTCATCCTCTTCTCTTCTCACCCACAGTCTTTCCCAGCATCAGGATCTTTTTCAGTGAGTCAGCTCTTCACATCAGGTGGCCAAAATATTGGAACTTCAGCTTTAGCATCAGTCCTTCCAATGAATATTAAGGGTTTATTTCCTTTAGGATTGACTTGTTTGATCTCCTTGTTGTCCAATGGGCTCTCAAGAGTCTTCTCCAGCATCACAATTCGAAAGCATCAATTCTTTGGTGCTCAGCTTTCTTTATGGTCCTCTCACATCCCTACATGACTACTGGAAAAACCATAGCTTTGACTATACAGACAGATATGAAACAGAAAAAGAAGTAGAAAAGGCAGGAGAAGAAGGGAGATTAAACATGCCTTTTTGTGATGTTACTTTGTCCACAAAGATCTGTCTAGTCAAGGCTATGGTTTTTCCAGTAGTCATGTATGGATGTGAGAGTTGGACTATAAAGAAAGCTGAGCACCAAAGAATTGATGCTTTTGAACTGTGGTGTTGGAGAAGACTCTTGAGAGTCCTTTAGACTGCAAGAAGATCCAACCAGTCCATCCTAAAGCAGATCAGTACTGGGTGTTCATTGGAAGATCTGATGCTGAAGCTGAAACTCCAATACCTTGGCTACCTGATGCAAAGAGATGACTCATTTGAAAAGACCCTGATGCTGGGAAAGATTGAGGGCAGGAGGAGAAGGGGATGACAGAGGATGAGATGGTTGGATGGCATCACCGACTCAATGGACATGGGTTTGGGTGGACTCCAGGAGTTGGTGATGGACAGGTAGGCCTGGTGTGCTGCGGTTCATGGGGTCACAAAGAGTTGGACATGACTGAGTGATTGAACTGAACTGAACTGAACTTTGTGATGTTGATCTCATTGTCTTTGGTTTAGTTGACTCTTTCTTCACGCATTGTCATAATTCCTAACTATTTCTCCTTTAGCACTGTAGCCAGATGAAGCACTATCAGAATGAACAGCCACAAAAAGTCCCCATGGATCTGGAGGGTATGTGGACATGGGTCAGTGGTCAGTTCCTCTTGTTTGGACTGAGTGTTGGAAGAGGCCTGATGAAAGTGGCCTGAGAAAGTGGAAACATGGAGTTTCCATCTCTGGGATGAAGAAATTTGTGAGGTTGAGTCCTGATGCTTCAACATGAAAAAATCAGGAAAATGGGGATGAACCAGCAAGAGGTAAAAGGAAATATGTGATAGAATTATGTCCTAAAGGCGAAAGGAAGAAAGAGTTAAAAGGAATAGTGACCTCTTAGCTTAATGCCGGCTTCCCTGGTGGCTCAGTCAGTAAAGAATCTACCCACAATACAGGAGGCAACCTGCAATGCAGGAAATACAGGTTCAATCCCCAGGTCGGGAAGATCTCCTGAGGAAGGAAACAGCAGACCACTCCAGTGTTTTTACCTGGGAAATCCCATGGACAGAGGAGCCTGGTGGGTTACAGTCCCCAGGGTCACAAGAGTCAGACAGGGCTGAACGACGAAACCACCACCACCTTAATGGTGCTGATAGCTCAAGAGGAGACCTGAGAATTCAAGCTTGGATTCAAATGTTAAGGCAAGAAACCAAAGCCTGACTGGAAAAGAGAAGAAAGTAGAGACAATGATTATAGACATCCCTTTTGAAAAGAAATCTTTCAGATCTGGTTTCTGGTGCCCAGAAGTGGTGCACCCCAATGTTCATTGCAGCACTGTTTATAATAGACAGGACATGGAAGCAACCTAGATGCCCATCAGCAGACGAATGGATGAGGAAGCTGTACCATGGCTAATTCATTTCAATGTATGACAAAAACTACTGTAATGATGTAAAGTAATTAGCCTCCAACTAATAAAAATAAATGGAAAAAAAAAAACTATATCACAAGCTCAAAAAAAAAAAAAGAAAAGAAATCTTTGAACATAAAGAAGACAGTCATTGTTTGAAAGGTTGATTTCTCAATTACCTGATCATTTTAATGCCACAGAATAATCACCTCCCTCCAGGCCTATAGGTTTGCAGTTTTCTAGAACAACAGTGGTTAACATTGGTTGCACTTCAACTCAGGGCCTGGCACCCTTATAACCTTGTATACACATTTTTTTCATTTATTGAATCCTTCTAGCCCTTGTCAACTACAAATTGGCACTCACCAAGGGCATCTGCCATCCACCTCTGTGGAGATTGAACCCTGTGCTGCCGCAGCTGTTGACCTTCAACCCACCCTGAAGAGAGTTCAGGTGGAGAGTGAGGCAGTCTGTGCTCCAGGGAAACCGGTGGAACAGGTCTTTACATAGTTAAATGTTCTCAGACACTGATTTCATGACCCCAATCCCTGCATCTCTTCATATCTTAAAAAGTAGCAAATCCTTGCATGGTGACATCACTTCTCATGACTAGCAGAAAACCTTTCATAAAATAAGTGCTTGATTGCACCGAACTCCCCTTTCACCAAATTTTATATATGGACCTCCCACCACCACCTCTTTGGAGACATCTCTCAGAGCTATCTGAGATGCTGTCTCCCGGCTGCAGTCCTCATTTTGCTCCAAATAGAACTTAACTCTCTTAACTCTTTTTTCAGTTGACACCCTTTAAGTAACTGCTAATCAATAAAGCCTCACACAGATGAGGAAATGAGAGCACAGAGAGTTTCAGTAGGTCAGCAAAAACAGTATAGCTGGGAAGAGGTGGACATAGAACTCAATAGAGCTGAACCGGCTCTGGAGCCCAAGTTGTAGCCCATGTGTTACCCTGTTGCCAGACTCGGTCCTTGGGTAGCACCAGAATTTGAAACCCTGGACTCTCTCTTCCAGTGTCTGTTTTGCTGGCCACCCTCAATTCCAGTACTCTGCACTCCAGGACAGAGGGAGAAGGAAGCTGGCCAGAGCCCCACTTTGCCGTGCCCTCAGCACTCAGGAATCTCACACCTTGGTCTCCTGCTGTCTGTCTCTTCTATTGAACTTCCTAGACCACAGCCACCACTGCCTGTGATGGGTGAAAAGCTGGGGTGATGGTAGTGGGCAAGGTAAGAGGAGACGGGGAAGGCCTGAGCCGGAGTCAGGCTGCTGGAGGAAAACGGGCAACGTCCCTTGAGCCTCATGTTTCCAGCAACAAAGCCCTTTGTCGGAACTGGGCCTAGGCTCCAAGGCCACTATTCCTCCTGCTCTTCCTGCTTTACCTGCACCAGGATAAAACTGAACCAGGAAGAGAAAACCTAGGTCTTGGGGTCGGGGAAGGTCTTTGAGAGCATGGAGTGGGTTCTGCCTAGCATGAACTGGCTAGAAAAACCCCTCTAGAAAAGTTTGTCTTACCTTCATCCTGCTCCACCTGCCCCACTGCTAACCACCTGCCTGTTTAAGAGCTTAAAGACCAGGACTTCCCTGGTGGTCTAGTGGTTAGGAATCTGCCTGCCAATCCAGAGGACACAGGTTCAATGCCTGGTCTGAGAACTAGGATCCCACAGGCTGCAGAGCAACTAAGCCCACACACCACAGCTCCTGAAGCCCACGCACCCTAGAGCCTGTGCTCCACAACAGGAGAAGCCACTGCAATGAGAAGCCCGCACCCTGCAACTAGAGTAGTCCCGCTCACCACAACGAGAGGAAGCCCTCACACAGCAACAAAGACCCAGCACAGCAAACAAACAAACAAACAAAAACACTTAAAGATTCATGTTATCATGCCATTGCTTAGCCAGTCAGAAAAACAAGCCAAGCTGTCTCACTTCGAGAAAGAGGACTGTGGATCAACAGATTGTTTTTGTGATTGAATTGCAACCAGCCCTCCTCTCTCCTCCCACTCTATGTTTTCCGAGCCTTAACTTAAGCCCTTCTCAGAAACTTTTGTGTCCTCCTCTGCCTTCCCTGGGACTTCCCTGATAGCTCAGCTGGTAAAGAATCCACCTGAAATGCAGGAGACCTTGGTTCGACTCCTGGGTTGGGAAGATCCCCTGGAGAAAGGATAGGCTACCCACTCCAGTGTTCATGGGCTTCCCTGGTAGCTCAGACAGTAAAGAATCTGCCTGCAATGCGGGAGACCTGGCTTCAGTCCCTGGGTTGGGAAGATGCCCTGGAGGAGGGCATGACAATCCGCTCCAGTATTTTTGCCTGGAGAACCCCCATAATCAGAGGAGCCTAGCCGACTACAGTCCATGGGGTCAGAGTAGGAGACCACTGAACAACTAAGCGCCCGCATGTGCGCGCACACACACACACACACACACACTGCCTTTCCCAGTAGATTTTATAGTCCCTCGGAATTAACATTCTGCCATGTTCCTCTCTCCATCTTCCACATCCATACCTGGTATCTCACTGTATCATTCAGAATGTCCCAGCTAAACTACCAGAAAAACACTCAAATAGATCTAAACTAATGGACAGTTTGTTATCTTCCAGAACAAGAAGTCCCAGTTGGAATGTCCCAGGATTGATGAATGACACAGCTCGAGGACATCAGCAATGTCGCAAGCTCTCTCTGTCTTTGTCCTCTGCCAGCCTCAGCATGTTGGCTCACAACCTGGGTTGACCCTCCTCAAGGTGACAGGCATGCTATTACTCACAGACACATGACCCTCCTCAAGGTGACAAGCACATACAGTTTCTGTGCGTGACGCTCACAGACATGACAGCGTCCAGCAGCCACTCTGAAAAACTGAGGAAACCTTTATTGAAAGCTCCCAGAGCAAACATTCCCTCCCCATCCTTGACAGAAACAGGGTTATATGCCCACTTCCAAACTAAGTACTAGCTTACAGAATGGACTTCCCATGATTAGACTCATCAGCTTTTACCCTTGAGTTAGGAATTGGATGGAGTTTTCTGGGGACACTGCTACATGGAAGAGTGTGCACAGCTGAAAAAAAAAATCAGATTCTACAAGCAAGAAAGTAGGGAAATGTGGGAAAGAAAGTAGGGGGAGGTGTGAGGATCAATTTGATGTGGGCAGCCTACAGTGTCTGATAAAATAACACATGATAGTGATGTCTATTGAATTTCATCTCACCCTAGCTTGACTTATTTCATCAGTTCTGGGAACAGAGTGGTGAGGGGATAGGACTCAGGTCAGATAGACTCTGATGATGAAAGGGAAGGGAACATGTAGGAGAAGTTGGGAGCATGAGGCATCGCCCTGCTGCCTACAACGCAGTATGACGTCTAACAAGGGATGAACAAGAAGCCAATCCAGAAGACCCACCACATAGCAAGCACCATATTAGGCTCCCACACACATCATCCTATTTAACTCTCCTAAAAGTTCTTCATAAAATACAAACTATAGCTCTCCTATTACAGATAAATCAATCAAGGCTCAGAGAACTTGGGTAACTTGTCATGGGTTCCTTGGCTTGTGACTAGCAGAGAGGGCATTCTGTTGGCTGCTGGTTACGGCTGTAACCTTCCCACAAGGCTCAAGTCTCCAAGGGATTTATAGGGACAGAGCCCCCAGGTGAACAAATACCTTGTTATGATCTGAGGCTTTGGAACCCACATCTCTGTGAAGTTTCCTGGTGAGGTAGACCATTTGTGAGCACCAAAGTCGTGTTCATGCTTCTAGCCTAAGGCTTAGGAAAAAAGCAGCCCAGGTGAGCCCCTTTGGCCAGAGCCAGCCGCTTCTCAAATGTTTCTACTGAGGTGTGTCCAATGGCAGAGAAGGGAGACAGAGGTTAGGGCTGTAATCGCAAGAGATCTGTGCTGATACAGAGCAGACTTCTGCAAGTCAGTGAGGCTGGGAAAGATCCTGAAAAGCTCCCCTCCAACTCACTGCTAACTGGCTTATGACTTCATGGGGCAAAGAGCAAGAGTAGTCTTCTCAACCAGACCCAACTTCAGAAAAGGAGAAAATGCCGAACAGAAGTGATACTAGAAAGAGGAAAAGATTCTCATGAACAAGCTAAAAGAGTCAGCCATGGTACAAGTGATCACCTTGGGAAACTGGGCCTACTGGAGCAAGATCTGGTGGGACGTGGGCTTCTGGAAGTGGTTCAGTCTTCCCCAGAGACGAGAAGAAAGAAGAAGGGTCAGAATGAGATTGAGTGGAGACCAGAGGAGCCAGTGAAGACTGGACAGCCAGTGACCTGCAGGGCTCAGCCTCCAGAGACTGAGTTTTGGGGGGCCTGGTAGGTTTCCTCAATGTTGTCTTCCCTCTTCTCCTCAAAGTCTGTCTGACCTGGCATCTATGCAGGTTGCTCAGCTCTGGTCGGGAGGACCCTCAGTCTGCATGTGACCACCCAGATAGGCCCACCCACCAGGGTTCTTTACCACTAATGCCTCCCCAAAGGGCATAGAGGCCCAAGGGACATGTGGGTTATCTGCATATAATAATGCCAAACTGGCAGGATTGCTGTGAGGATCAAAC